ATCAACTATTCAACAGATCATTGAGAGTATAATCGTTTCACAATATTTCCATCCATGTTGTGAAATGAGAATCTATATAAATATAGATCTATTTGCCTCAATTTTCAAGATATTAATGATAAATGGACTATATATGGTATTTATGATTGAAATCAGATATGACAATACAGCGTTCTTATCAATCTACGTGACACAGACGCCTCTAATGCAATCTTGTTACTTTGACTTAATTATTCTATAGAATAAGTACAAATATTAGAGAAACAGAGTAAATCTGGTATTCTATAAAAAGGCTTTAACGTGTAGAACCGCATAAGATAAAGCACGGGCGTTATGTGTAGCTGCTTGCGATATACACATTCAAATTCAAAACTAGTCTTTTGTTCTCGATCACAGCCACTGAAACAGCAACAGAAACATTTGCGGTATTTTTACATGCTTTTGCATACTTTCTTACAATCATTTTGCGTTTTGCGTTTTGGTGCGCCTGATGGTGAATGAATTTGGCTCGATCTAGTGTCCGTTAGTGCGAAAGCAACGCAGAGCTGATTAATATCCGCATTATCACACGTCAGACAAGATATTAATAGAGAAATATCTGTACGGAGCCATATTAAATTGCAACGTAAAATAGTGCCTACACAACAAAATTCCTTTACATGGGAGACGTTGTTCCGATATTTCAGTATCCTATCCCTGTTTTATATAGGAAACAGTATATTATTAATAAGAAATAGAGTAAACAGTACTATGATAACAGTGCCATTTAAGTAAATTAAAACGTGTCATCGTTCACATAAAATTAAAATTTATTAATGAACAGTTTCATTATTCTTCTTAAGACTAGTTTAAATATTAATTTAAAAGAAAAATATGTGACAGAATGATGTCCAAGTTTTAATCATTCTTTTAAAGTCTAAACTTGAAAAAGATTATGATGTGGCGTGTACATAAAAACTGATAACGTTGGCCTTTTCATGCAAAAAATAAGAATCAAGGAATCATTTATGGCAGTCTTTTCTAATATTTTTTATATCTTTCTGTGCCAATAATTGCGCCGATGTTATTCTACAGCTGTACTGTTTGCCCTATTGTAAACTGGTGCGCTTCGCAATTAAAATTTCGTCTCGTCGATAGGTATTTACTCTACTTTTCGTATTTACTCTTCTAAAATCTACGTTGACGCCTTAATCACGCGTGATAAACACGCTTTTTCATTTCGGATGATTCAATCGTGTTAAAATATCTTGTCAAATTTGTATCGGAAAGTAAAGCTGCGCTTTACACATCATACTTTCTAATATCACCATGGTAAGAAATTAACCTATGGCTAAAATAAGTTTCTGTATGTACACGTATGTATGTACAACACGAGTATGTACAACACGCGTGTGTGCACGTGAGCTGCATTATGCGCGATTAGTCAGACTGATTAGCATGACTTACTCATTTTGACGTTATTATCCGTATTTCGATACATTCGTTGTACTGGATCAGATTAATTTCTTACCTGAAAGCTTAAACTCTAATTGACGAGTACAAATTAGCAAACGTTACAAGGAACTCGATAAAATAATTATTTGAGATTATTTTCGCAATGACTGAAAAAAAATTGATAAATAAAACTGTCAAGTAATTTTCCAGCGCAAAAAGTTAAAAAAAATGAACCATCCCATTTACTTCTTAATATTTCAAACGAATATAGATAATAATTATAAGGAAATAATCATCCGATTCGTATATATTTTTGTTTAAATTGAAATAGCTGTCTCTTCTTCTCTATGATCGAAACGTGATCTATTCTCCGTTACGTCGAATTATTGTACTGTGCATTCCTACCCATGATATTTACAAAAATATGCGTTACATAAGTACCAGATCAGTACCTATATCATCGTAGCGGCACTTAATCTTCTCTGCTGTATTTCTCTGCTATATGTCAGTTGCACATTGCATTGATTATTTGCACAAGGTTTATATGTATTACTAATTGCACATCTCTGCAATTTACTCTGCATTGCTTAATCAGGTCTATAAATCGGAATCTTCGGAATAAATTCAATCAAGAGAACCTGTAATGTCGGGAAAAAAAAGAAAATAATCAGTGTTTTTAAAAATTATTCAAGTTTCTTAAGATTCCAATAATTTTATAACAGTCTTACATATTCCATCATGGAGGAGCTGTCACATCTTTGCTTCGCCAACCTCCAATGTAAACCGAGTTTGTGGTAAAGCCTACTATTCTCCCATTCTAACAATTTATTTAAAGAATGCTGAGTCTAAAAAGATAACGCACGTTAATGCCTTGTACATAGATTTAAATAATTTGTATTTCGCAAGTGGAAAAATTTTCTATGAATTTGACTTTCTTCCAGTCATTGCTTACGACTTACCCTTTTGCTCAAGCAAATAACAGGCCACAGAGAACATCCTAGCGTACAGCAGCAGCATACACAACCACAGAATAACCATTTAACATTAACAGGTAAAGTCTTTTTCAATACACTGTTCACTCTCATGACAGTTGCCTTGAACTCCTCTGGAGCTACGCGGGACATGAGGCCATTGGGAAACTCCGATTCGAAACGATTACTCAAACCAAATCTGAAATAACAAAAATTATCAAACTTTACCGAAACTTTATAGTTACAGAGATTAAAAATGTTTTATCGTTACATAATTTAGACGAGACTTGCTATTGAAAATCTTTAAAATAAAAGATGTATAAAAAAAAGATATTGTGCAAATATAGAAAAATATTTCATAATAAAATTGTCTTATAAATTGTCTTTTGTTTACATGAAGTAAAAATATCTTGATTTGAAAATAGAGACAGAAATCAAAAATGCATATATAATTTAATTACATAAAATCCGCGGGTCGTTGAATTTATATTTCGAGAGGAGGAAAGGAAAAACTCAGCATCGTCAACTGACGAGTCAACGACAAAGATGCGGACGTATGGCAAAATTTATGGGATCAGGTGGCTTTGTTTGCCTCTCTTCTTTGTGGGAACGCGAGCCTTCTCTCCCTCCCTCCCTCTCGCCAACCCTTCTTCCCTGCCCCGCCAGCATTCTCCCTGACAACAAAGAAGCTCTTGGCTCCGGATGACATTTCTGAGACTTACACCGTCATGTTACCAGCCCCGCGGATCACAATCGGATCCGGCACCATTGCGACGTAGTGCTCCTCCAGGTTCTGCTCGTTCTCCTCCTCCTCCTCATAGATCGCGTCGAAGTCCGCCATCGCGCTCCCCCGCCGTTTCCCACGGAGAGTGAATTGCGCGTATGTGGGTATCAGCGACAATAACAACGGCAGCGACAACAATAAAAACCACCACCACCACCACCACCACCGTCACCGTCGCCGTCGCCGCCGCAACAGCAGCAGCAGCAGCAGCAGCGACGTGTTATGAGTTGCGATGATGATACGCGCGTGCGCCTCCCGCCCCCCTCGGCTAGCTCGTCGTGGTCGTCGTCGACCGCGAAGGGGAGACGACGACGACGACGACGACGACGACGACAACGCACGGCGCTCTCGCGAGCGCGCCTCTCTCGCTCACATCCCCGCCGTGACGATGGATGGCTTCCGATCCGTCGTCATGCTGCTCGCACTGTTACAATTATCGATGATCATCTCCACCACGAGACTGGATTAGGCCAGCTGTTAGGCGCACTCTCGATGACGACGACGACGAAAATCGTAATGATACCGTCCAGCGTTCGGAGTATTACACACGTAAAATCGCCGCTCGCCACACACGATCGCTCCGCCAATACCGCGCGACGCGCACTGCGGACAGTGCGGATACGATTCACTCGTTCAAGGCGTTCGTCGACTTTTTTTTTTTTTCCTCCTTCTCCAGTCTCACTCCGACTCCGAGCTTGCCGCGACTGATCAGATTCGCCAAGCGGAGATGCGCGCGAAAGAATTATACGTGTATGTAGAGAGAAGCGGGCTCAGAGCGGGCATGCCCGCAACTTAGCTATAACGCTTCATTTCGAAGCGCCTCTACGTCCATAAAAACTTGAACTACGTAACCAATGTCCATGATCCTGGGTAGATAATGTCCACGATTTGCGTGGTTTTGTTCCGTGCTGTGCGTACATCCAGGAGCGACAGTTAGATAAAGAGGGACACGCTCGATCTCGATCCGTCCTTGCCCTCTCGCAAAATCGTGGACATTAGCTAATATAAGCGGATCCAGGAATAATAGAAAGGACATAATGACATTACCGTTTTGACCGTACTGAGGATAACGTTTATTTATTACTGTATGACGGATTTTTAATTTTAAATTAATAGTTCCTTTTACGACGGATAATAAAGTAGATTTTTGGGAGTAGCGTTTAATGGTTAAGTCATCGAAAAACGTCGTCGTTATAACGTCTCGTATCAGTTAGATATTATTCAGTAATATATTATAATATTGTTAGATATTTCGTTTTATTACACATTGTAAATATCGCGGTCTTTAAAACTGTTTACGCGCCGTGGCTGTGATACCGCGTGTTTACGAACGCTCCACGTGTTATCATTGTTTATCCGGCGTTCGTACGAAAACCCCAAAGACGAAGAAGAAGAAGCCAACAGTACTCATTATTAATTATAATTCAACAATATAACAAATAATAATCTAACTTACACGAAATACTATAGTTTTTAATAATCGAACGTTAAATAATGTATATAGATATTTCATTAGAGGGTATCGTCTCGCGATATGAATCGACTATTGCGCGCGTGTTATTAGTATATTATTAATAACATTAATATTACCATTGGATGATATTAATTATTATTAATAATATACGCAATTGTCGTCGATTTTAATTAACATTCCACCGCTGATTTAAAATCTAAATGAAATATACACACGCGTTATTTATAACGTCCGGTTACTAAAAGATGTAGCTTCGCGTAAGTTAGATATTATTCGTAATATTGTTGTGAATATTCGTTTGGCACACATTGTATGTACATATCGCGGCCTTTAAAAA